TTCTAAAATATTGGGAAATGGCCATAAAAAGTTTTTACAAAGAATTAAAAGCTAATAAACAAGGCATGAACATAATAGCAAGAACATCTATGTTACACCATCAAGCTTAAGAGTTAAATGTTTCTCCACCCAGTGTCTCCCTAATGCACTAACCATCCCCTCCTGGGTTTACCACAGCCTTCCCAATTTGTGTTCTTATTATTCACATGCTGGTTTCTGTGTCTCTACTACATTAATGTATGTTTCTGGACAATAGTGTTATTTGCATTTTTCATTTTTTGTTTGTTTGTTTGTTTTGGTGGTGCAGGGAATTGAACCCAGGGCCTTGTACATGTGAGGCAAGCACTCTACCAACTGAGCCATATCCCCAGATGCATTTTCAGTATTTTTATATCATTGATGTGTTGTATGTGTCCATATGCATTTTTCTTTTTAGAAACAGCTTTATTGAGATATAATTTATATACTCTTCAAGTCAGCTATTTAAAACATAAAATTCAATGGCTTCCAAAATATTCAAAGTTGTACATTTATCACCATCATCAGTTTACAATATTTTCATCACCCACCCCCAAAAGCACTTCTATCCTTTAGTCAGCCACACTCCCTCTAGACATTGACAACCACTCATCTCCTTTCTCTCTCTAGGTTGGCCTATCCTGGCCATCCCATCTAAGGAACTCCAGCTTTGGAATTCGTTTATAAATTAAACTATTGACCTTTTGTATTTGACTTCTTTCACTGAGCATAATGTTTTCAAGTTTCATCCACATGGTATCAAGTATCAGTTCTTCATTTTTGACAAATAATGTTCCATTGATTGGTATACCACATGCTTGGAGGAAGAGCATGAGAAGAAGATTACCATTAAATAGGGATGAGAGGTGCGTGGGAATGGGAGAGAGAAGGGGAATTTCACGGAAGATGGTAGGAGACCCTAATGGTTATGCAAAATTACATATAAGATGGTGTGAAAGGAAAGAAAAAAGAGAGAGAAACTTGTCACAGTAGATTGGGTAGAAAGAGGTGATGGGAGGGGAGGGGAGAGGAGGGGGGATAAGAAGGGCAGCACAATACAATAGACACTAGTATGGCCCTATGTATAAACATGGTAGTATAACCAATATAATCTTGCAATCTGTACACGTGGAAAATAAGATTATGTACCCCATTTGAATCAAATGTATGATATGTCAAGATCATTGTAATGTTTTGAGTAACTAATAAAAAAAACAAGCATTAAAGCTTCAGACACAACTGATTGTACTTTCTGGGACCACTTGCATATTAAGTGACCAAATTAAGGCTACCAATGATTTGAAAAGAATATTCTCACTTAAGAGTACTAACTCAGGTCGGGCTCCTCTGCCGCTACTACAGAGGATTCAGAGCCGAGCAGCTGAGGAGGAGGAGGCTCCAGTCCCTGCACGTCATGCGCCACCTTACTGGACACGGGTGAGGGAGCGAGAGCGTCGCCGCTGTAGCCTCCAGAGAAGACAAGGGCATAGCCTCCTGTTGCCTCCGCAGCCGTTTTCGCCTGCAGTGGCTAGCCGGATCCTCAGTCTTCCACAATGAACCCTGTTTACAGCCCCGTGCAGCCTGGGGCTCCTTATGGCAACCCTAAGAACATGGCCTACACGGGTTACCCTACAGCCTACCCGGCAGCGGCACCTGCCTACAATCCTAGCCTGTACCCAACCAATAGCCCCAGTTATGCTCCAGCCACTCTGCTGATGAAACAGGCCTGGCCACAGAACTCGTCTTCCTGTGGCACTGAAGGCACCTTCCACCTCCCAGTGGACACCAGGACCGAGAACCGAACTTACCAAGCATCCTCTGCGGCTTTCAGATATACTGCAGGGACTCCATACAAGGTTCCACCAACCCAGAGTAATACTGCTCCAACCCCCTACTCCCCATCACCCAACACCTATCAGACAGCCATGTATCCAATCAGAAGTGCCTACCCCCAGCAGAATCTGTATGCACAGGGAGCCTACTATACACAGCCGGTGTACGCTGCCCAGCCCCATGTCATCCACCATACCACGGTCGTCCAGCCTTACAGCATTCCCTCTGCCATCTACCCGGCGCCTGTTGCTGCCCCCAGGACCAATGGCATGGCCATGGGCATGGTGGACGGCACCACCATGGCAATGTCAGCAGGTACTCTGCTGACTACACCCCAGCACACCGCGATTGGGGCACACCCTGTCTCCATGCCAACATACAGGGCCCAAGGAACCCCTGCGAACAGCTACGTGCCCCCGCACTGGTAAAACCTTCAGCCCATCCAAATCTGGAGTCACAAATTGTATGCAACTACTCAAGTCTTACACCGGTGCTGGAGCAGCTCCCTAGCAGCACCATCTCTATTTTCAAGAAGAGACACCAGAAGTTCAAGGGTCACTTTATGCATCTTTAATGATTTTGGTTTTTGTTTTTGGTTTTTGTAAAAGCTGCTTTTTCTAATCTCCTGCCTTTCCCCCTAGCCCCTCTCTTAGCTGCTGACTTACCCAAGGGCACAACTAATGAGCTAGGATTCCAACCCAGGCCTACAAATCATGCTCTCTTCTGCATCAGCCTAATTCTTTTTTTGCTTTACTTGCTGAACTTTCTTCATGCTCTTGACCATTTATTCCATAAATTGTTTGTCTTTTTCTTCATTCTTGTAGAAGACTGGCTTTCAATTTCAAACAAATGTCCACTTTTGAAAAAAAAATGGAAAGGCCTTTTTTTTTTTTTTTTTACTGATGATGTCTGGATAATTGGCAGGCAAACATCAGATGGCTTCAGATGTGTTCTGCAACAACGGAGGTGCCTTTAAAATCTGAAATATTTGGTCAAAAGTTCATTGTACACATTAAAACTTTGAACTTCTTGTTATGTCGGTTATTTAGGTAAACCTCAATTTGTGTAGCAGTGTCAGTTATTGCTGTAATTCAACCCTAGAATCAATAGTATTTCCTTCTGGATATGGTAATGGCAAGCAGCCATAAATAACTCTTAGGATTTCTGGCGTGATCCACCATTAGGATAGATCTTTTTCTGAAATAAAGAGAATTTTTTTGGAGAAGTGAGTTTGTATATATGTGTGTGGGGGTATTGATGCTGGTTTCTGAAGTTTATTTTGGACATATAAAATTTGAGATGTATATTAGCGAAAAGGGAACCAATGATTAGATAGTTGTATGTATTGGACCCAAGGTCATCAAAGATATCTAGGTTAAATTTGGCATGTTAAAGGCATTTAAAGCTTTTTGCAAACTTGTAAAACATGTGAGGCAGTAGGTCAAGCCCAGGAGCTCCCATTGCATCAGGGATGCTCTTATCTGGAAATCAGAGGGTTGATTTTTGTTATCTTTTGTACAGCTCTTTGCTGTATTCAGAGAGAGAGAGTTCAAGTCCACAAAAAATTCCATTGATTTCTCACAAGTAATCTATCAAAAACATGCATCCAGACCTCTTTTCTGGTTTCTGACCTGTTACAGTGAATGCTGTTCCTGACTTTATTAAGTGCCTCAAAGCATGACTACATATAGTTATGAGATTGTACACTTCATAGCTGTCAGGCTCTGGTCTTCATCTGGGAATGCCCTAGTCCCTAGTCCATATCCCATTCAACAAGGTTTTGCTACTCTTATGTATTCACACTCTCTTGAATCTTCCCATCTTCACTCTCCATCAGATAATTTCCACTGGCATACAAAAATTATCGGATATCCCTCATATTAAGGTAAATCACTATACTCACCTTCCAGTACCCACTATGGACACTACATCATATGCTGCATCCATTCACAAGAACATCAAACAGTTACCTTAATTTGCTGTGTTTAACTTTTATATACATATATTTAAATTAGTAAACCTTTTCTTATTATAAAAATTAAATGAAGACCAACATTTCTAACATCCTGTTTTCTTCCAATTTCAGTATATTTTCTCTACCTTAATTTTTTAGTAACTTTCTTAAAAATATAAATTTTCAGTCTTATATGAAAATATCTTCACCTTCTCTCTACTTTTGAATGTTGGGACAAAATTCTATCCTGATAGTTACAACCCATATCTTTCTGAAGGTATTATTACATTATCTTCTCCATTATTGCTGTCTGTTATTATCTAATTATTCTTTTTGTGCTCATTTTAAGATCTTTTTTGTGGGTCTGGTGTTGTAACTCAGTAGAAGAGGGCTTTCCTAGCATGTGTTAGGCACTGGGTTTGATCCTCAGCACAATACCCTGGCCTTTCTCCCCCTGGCCTTGCTCCCCTGGCCCTTTCTTCTGTTCCCTGCTTCCCCTTTCCCTGTTCTCCTGGGCCCTGCTCCCCCTGGCCCGGCTCCACCTGGTTCTGATAATCATGGGCCCTGATCTCCTGGGCCCCGCTTCCTCTGGACCTGCTCCCCCACATCCTGCTCCCCCTGGTCTTGCTCCCCATGGGACCTGCACCTCAAACTTAACCATCCACCTACTTCCAGCCAGTGCCCATGACCTGGTCCAACACTGTCTGTGTAGCAGCCTTTCTTATGCCTCCTAACAATGTGGGGAAAAAAAATATGAAGTTCTCATAACAGTCTTGGATGCTGAGGCTTTCACTATGAACTATGAGATTCTGGGTAAGTCACAGATTCTGCAATGAGTAAGCTGGCTAGATTCTATTTGGTTAACCAACTTAACAATTTCCATATTTTTCCTACCTTGAGACACTAATTTGCTTCAGAATAACATTAGCTCAGACAAGAAAAATTTGTGACTTATCCTCCTAGATAGAGTCACAAGAGAATCAACCAAAAGGACTTTCTGGGCCTTGGAAACCAGCACTTAAAAAAACACCAGGGGAATTTTACAGGGGTTGAGCCCACAGGGGCAGAGGGGTTGTGCCTTGTGCTGAAGCATATTCTTTACTCACCTAGTTTGCTATGAGTCACAGAACACATCTGCACAGCCATGCAGAGAAAACAATCTACAGCATCCTCAAGGATACATGCCCAGACATTAGTTGTTTTGGTTGTTTGCTTGTTTGCTTGTTTTGGGGAGGAGCATACAGCACAATTTTCATGAATTTGGACAAATGTGGGCAAATTACTTTCTTGCTGGGCATCTAGTGCTGAATCTCACTACTCTAGCTCCATAAATCATTCTTCTTGCTCCATAAATGAAGCTATGTACCTCTTGACAAATACATTTTTTGTGACATTCCAAACTGCCAGAGAATAGTATCAAATGTTCACAGAGGCAGTTCCAGGAGGCAATCAGAGCATGTAGTCTACCCAGATGAAGCACCCACCAAAGACATGAACAGTCACTAGCCAAATATCCTGCCCTATCTCTGACCAAGTTCCATCTGCCTTAAAGCCCAGTAGATCAGGCCATACTTGTGTTTCTTCTTAGTGCTGTTCCAGCCAAGGCTCCAACTGCTCCCCTTCCCACCCAATTTGCCTATAGCCACTGATCTCCACTTTAACTGACTACTGTACTCACTCTAACACTTGCCCAGATACCTTAATTCTCTCATTGTCATTGATTTTTTCCTCCATACTATCTCAGCTCCTTATTCTCATTGTCACTCTCTAAAATTTGTAAATCCATCTCAAGTTCCATTCTTAAGTCTAGATATTCAATATCTCACAAATTAGTTCACTTTACCTGGAAAACTCAGCCTTTGTAACAGCCTGCACACCAACCATTTACAGCAGAAATCCAAGAACAGCAAGAGCAAGGAGGGCACAACCCACAGGAAAACCTCAGGGAGGGATGTGGAGCTGGACTTTATTTGCTAAAACTCATGCATTCAACTGTTCTAGTTCTGTAATAGTCTAAATTCACCACACACACAAAAAATCAGCTCTACCATGTTCCTGGATTCTATCACCTGAGCTCTTTGAATGGGAGGAGAGGCACAATATCTGGAATTGGCTGAGTGGGCGAGGCGAGAACAACAAGACTAGGCCTATACACCCACTTTCTCTCCTTTGTCCACTCTAACTACTCATCTAATCAACAGGTGTTGACAGTCTTCTAACTGCATCATATTTGTCTACATGTAATTCCATCCCTTATAAAACTCAGAAAAAATTGACACACATAACCCCCTTGCAAATACCCTTAATGTTCTTGTTCCTGACACTGTTTTGTTGACTTCTGCACAACTGCATCAGAAACTCTCAACTTTACTGGAAAAATTCATCTCCACACACTGTAACTGTGCATCTGCTCTCAATGTTTCCCACAAAACAATGAGTTTCGTGGTTTGCTAAAGACTCTGGATTACACTTTCACTTCTCTTCCAGTGGCACATGTTACCCAGAACTCAAAAGCTCTTTTCAGTAATAAGAGAGAGTTTAAGTCGTCACACACACAAAAGAAAATTGATTTATCACAAGTACATCTATCAAAAAATGCACCCATATCTGTTTTCTGGCTTCTGACCTGTTAGAGTGAAAGCTGTCCCTGACTTCATAAAGTGACTCAAAGAATGACCACATACAGTTGTGAGACTGCATACTTTATAGCTCTCAGGTCCTGGTCCTTATTTGGGAATGCACTAGTTCCTATCCCACATTCCCTTCAACAGTGTTTTACTCCTCTCATGTATTTACACTATCTTGAATCTTCCCAACCTCACTCTCTATCAGATAATTTTCATGGCATACAAAAATTATCTGATATTCCTCAACTTAATAAAAATCACTACCCTTACCTTTCTGTACCCATTATGGAAACTATACCATACTCTGTAGCCATTCACAAGAGCACCAAAGAATTACCTTAATTTTCTATCTCTATTATTCATATACATATATTTAAATAGTAGACTTTTCCTAACTACAGAAATTGAATGAAGACAAACATGTCTAACACCCTATTTATTTTCTAAATTAAGTATGTTTACTCAACCTAAAATTTTCAGAAACCTGATAGAAATATGTTTCAGTCTTACACAAAAATATCTTCACCTTCTCTCTACTTTTGAATTTTGGTTTATCAGAATACAAAATTCTATCCTGACAGTTACATCCCATGGCTTTTTGAAGACGTTATTACATTATCTTCTCCATTATTGCTGTCTGTTGTTTTCTAATTGTTGTTCTTTGTGTGCTGCTTTTAAGATCTTCTTTGTTGGACTGGAGTTATAGCTCAGTAGTAGAGGACTTGCCTACCATGTGTTGGGCACTGGGTTTAATGCTCAGCACCACATAACAATAAATAATAAAAATAAAGGTGTTATTTACACCTATAATTATAATAAATATATTAAAAAGAGATCTTCTTGCTGTGCATGCTGGTGCATGCCTGTAATATCCACAGCTCAGAAGTCTAGGAAGGAGAATTCCAAGTTTAAAGCCAGCCTCAGCAAAAGCGAGGCTCTACGTCATTCATTGAGACTCCATCTCTAAGTAAAATACAAAATAGGGCTTGAGGTATATAGCTCATTGGTTGGGTGCCCCTGAGTTCAATCCCCAGTATCCACCTCCTCCAGAAAAAGATCTTTTTGTCT